AATTCAGGTGGGATAGACTCAAAGTCATATTTTGGTTGCCTTGGATTTGGTTTAATTTTCCTCAGCTTCAGCTTGAATTTGCATATGAGTAGTTGGTTCCACAATAAACTAGTATAATATAATTTTTTAAAAAGGTGTCTAAGAACCACAGTATCAGGAACTCCATCAGCCTGTATCAGCCCAGTAAACCTGGTCTATTTTATGATCCTCAAGTGACTCTAATGTTCACTGTTAATTTAATAAAGCCACAGGGACAATATTACTGGCATGTAGTTAGCAGCAATAAATGAACAATACATGACTTAATGCTTAGATACTCTTTTACTAGTAAGGTCAAGTGATTGCTTGAGGTCACAACACTAGTTAGTGATGGAACAAAAACTTAAGTCCAGATCTTTAACTCAAAGTCCCAAGTATTTTCCATTACTATATCACAATGTAGACAAACACTATCTAGCATGTTAGAGCTATACTAAGGAATCTTAGTTTTTTATAAAGTTACACCATAGTTTTATATTTTGTAACAGAAAGTGATCTATAAATGCAGAGCACATTCACCTAACGGAAACAATAAAAACAAGTAGTGATATTTAACATGAGCTAGCATGTTTGTGTGTTTCCACTTAGCCATGACCTCCTATGGATTGTCAGAGTTAATTCAGGCATTGTTTTGTGGGCTCTTATTAGTTGTTTAACACATTCATTTGTTTTCAGCATTCTCACTGTCTAAAAGAGAAGACTGGCATGTAAGCAGATTATAATATTCACTACTAAATACAGCAATAAAATCTAAACAAGACACAGATGTTGCTTAGAGGAAGAGGGGGGTTTAGATGGCCAGGGAAGGCTTTGTGTGGAAAATAAGTGACAGGGGTATGACCGACTAGAAGAATTCCTCTATACAGTGTCCAGTTCTGAGATGGGATGTAGAGAGCTATGCTTATGCCACACAAGGGGGCACTCTTTCCTGTTAAGTGCAGGAACCTGTGGGATAAAAGCAAACACAACTTGCTGGCTCTAGAACTGAAGCTCCTGCTTCTACTAATTTGAAAAGAGCTTTGGAGGAAAGCTGTCAGTATGAATCCATGATGTTTGCAGGGAGAAGGAAAGAACCTGAGAGGGTACACATTATAGAGGCCAGGGAGTTAGTACTGTGTGTCCTGAGTAAAAGGTCCAGGCAGGGGAGAGAGTGGGGGACAAGAGAGGACAGAAGTTTTTACTATAATTAGCCCTGGGAGTAACACAGGTTGAAGAGAGATGGGAGTACAGCCGGTGACTATTTTGAGCATAGTTGAGATTGACAGGACGTGTGTGCGGGACTGTACTGATCCCAGGGCCAAGTTGCCTGCCTGTGGTGTGTGGTAGATGGTGGGAGGTGTGGGGGTGGGAGGAGGCCTGAAGCAGCAAGACCAGCACAGCCAGACAGGCAGGCTGGACCGGGGTACCAGCACTTCGCTTCTCTCCCTAGAACATTATCCAAACTCCTGGGGCCATAGGCCAAGCTGAGTGATGGGTGCTGAGGAGGAGGTGCTGGTCACACTGTCGGGGGGAGCCCCCTGGGGTTTCCGACTTCAGGGGGGGACCGAGCAGAGGAAACCTTTACAGGTGTCTAAGGTAAGGCAGAGCCCCTGGAATGAAGTTTCGGGGAGAAAAGGGAGCCTGTGCGGGGAAATCTGGGAGGCTGCGGAGAAGGGCAGCGGGGGTAGGGAAGCATGCTCGTGTGTGGTGGGAAAGTGGTGTCTAACCACAGGCTTCTTATGGAGGGGCCTTTGAGAAGGGAACACCTGGCTCCCAGTGAGCAGAGAAGAAGCAAGGCTGTGCTTCCGTTCTTTAAATCACGGCGGTGGTGTCAGGGTCTGGTCACACTCTGCTGCGCGAGGTCTGTGCCTCTACTTCAAACTCAGGAATGTTGGGAAGGTTCTATCTTCTTCTGTCAGACTTATTTAAATACGATGAGCTGAGGCTGCCTCACCCAACCCAACCCAGCCAGGTCCAGCCCTTCCCTGCCCATGCCTTTAATAGCACCTCTCTCCATAAAGTCAGATCCTTTCTCTCCCTGCAGTTGCCCCCCCCCAACTTACAGTGACCCCAGTGTGTTCCAGCAGAACTGTGCTGCGTAGAGCTTTTAATGGCTGATTTTTCAGATGCAGATTTCCAAGCCTTTCTTCCAAGATGCTTCTAAGTAGACCTGAACCTCCAACCTTTCATTTAGCTGCCAAATGTCATAGCCATTTGTATCATCCAGGGACTCCTTTCTCACTCGGTAAAATGACGTAGGTGCAATGAGGGAAAGATCTGGCCTTTCAGAGTAAATCATTACTGTTGTGGGCCTTGAGTTGGAACTGACCCATAGCTGACCCGCCAGGGGGTTTACAGAGGCAATTAATTACATGTGTGGAGACTTCCCATCCTTCTCACGTAGAGCAGCTGGTGACTTCGAACTGTGTGACTTCAGGATTGCAATGCAGTTCTTACCATTGGGCCACCAGAGCTCCCTAAATCGTTTTTACTCACTGGTTTTACCCTTATTGGCCCTGCCACTGATTTACCATAACTGAGTTTCCTCAATTATAAAATACGAGTTATAATAATAGTACCTACTTCCTAGAACCATGTTAAGGATTAAAATAAATAATAATAATACAGGTCGAGTGTTTAACACAGTCCCTGGCATTTAATAGACATTCTATGGGAGTCACTAATACTATTTTCTTGTGATTATGGGTGGGAAGATGGGTAATCTCCTCCTGTGCCATTTACTGCCTCTGGAAACCTGCTGGAGCATCAGCTATGGGTCAGTTCTGAAACAAGGTAAACAATGTTACCATTATTACATTAACGCATGCACATAAATGCTTACACAAGGCACACACATATGTAATCATAGCCTCCGGAAATCTGGCTGGACTCCTGAATAGGAAGATTGTTGTAATATCTTAATTGTAGATTAATTGCACCTCAGGTTCCAAGGCCTAGAAAAGAACTGTTGGTTGATATAGATACTGTCCTTGAAGGAAAACTTGGGGATATACCACTCTGTCTGTTACCCTAGTTAGTCATTTTCCTATGCAAGTTATTTTCCCCGAAGCCTTTTTTATCACATGGTTACCCTCCCTCCAGTTGTATCTACCTTGCTCTGGACAGGCTCCCTCAATTACAGCACATCAACCTCTTTCTTATCCTGATGGTAAAATCTTCCCCATTGTCAGAGTCCTAACTCTGTTCACTCCCCCTCCCTTGGAGACCTTCCCTCACCTACAACCTCTCCCTTCTCAGATCCGAAGAAGGAGCCAGGCTGGCAGAGCAGGACTCCGAGAGAGGGACCAGCTCTTGGCCATCAATGGGGTCTCCTGCATGGGCCTCTCTCATGCCAGTGCCATGAGCCTCATTGATGCCTCAGGGAATCAGCTTGTCCTCACTGTCTGGCGGTATGGAGTCTCCCACCCTCCTGTCCTCCTAACCTAGACCTCCCCTTTCAGGTCTCCCATTGCTTGTTTCATCTTCACCTCACAGACTTGGCTTTGGCAGCTGGCAAATGTCCATTTCCACTTGTGTGTTCATGCTAGAGTTCAGCGGTTTGTGTATGCCTCCCAAGGAACTCAACCATATGTGCAGTTAAGGGATGGGAGTGTCCAGTTGGGCCTATGAATTCATGGGCATTTCAAGCCTTGGCTTGTCTCTTCCTCATCTCCTCTCCTATGCCCATTCCTACTGGCAGACATCCAAGCACATTTGTCTCCCAGTTTACCTAGTGAATTTTGCTGTCCCCAGAGCATCCATTTCACTTGTACCCCAGTCTTCTTTCCTATCCCTATATCCCTCCTCCAGTTCTCCCTGATTTTTAGTCACCAGGCTCATCTTTCAATTTCTGATATTTTTTCCATACAGGAGAGGGGATGAAGGGGCTGTCCGATCTCTGTCCCCTGGTGAGCTTCAGGTGCTGTCACCCTTGTCTCCGATGAGTCCTGAGCCCCTTGGGACTCCAGTTCCTCAGTCTCTGCAACCTGGGAGCCTTCGTTCACCTCCTGATAGTGAGGCTTATTATGGAGAGACAGACAGTGATGCTGATGGTCCCACCACCCAAGAGAAGCCCCGGCGACCCCGCCGCCGAGGTCCCATGAGGCCTGTCCCTCCAGGTGCTTCACCTGATGAGGTCTACTTGTCTGACAGTCCTGCAGAGCCAGCACCTGCTGTCCCTGGCCCTCCTAGCCAGGGTGACAGCCGTGTGAGCTCCCCATCTTGGGAGGATGGAACAGCCCTTCAACCACCCCCAGCTGAAGCCCTGCTGTTGCCCCATGGGCCCCTCCGGCCTGGTCCTCATCTCATTCCTATGGTGGGGCCTGTACCCCACCCAGTGGCAGAAGATCTCACTACCACCTATGCTCAGAAAGCCAAGCAAGCCAGTGAGTATCTGAACCTTTTATTCCTTACCAGGACCCTTTAGTGTGGGCCCTAAACCCATTCCTCCATAACTCTTATTCTGCCTTATCCTTCTTTTGAAGGTAGTCTTGGGACAAATGTAGAAAAGTGGCAATTGGGAGAGAAAAGGAACTATTCTCACAGACCCTATTGTTTTTGTTATTTGAACCAGTGTAGTACCCAGGAACAAGGTCAGTAGAAAAGTTGGAAAAAGACATGACTAGATGTAGGGTTTGATTTTTGGTGGTGTTATTATTTTGCTAGGTGTCAATACAGAAGCGAGGATAGAATGTGAACATGGGCAGAACAGTATTGGAAGTAGACCAGGATGACAGGAGCAGGACAGGGCTGGAGCAGCACTTAACAGTTATTTCCAGGCATAACATCAGAGCTCCTTTTGACATTTGTAAGTTTAGTTAGGATTCCTGGGGACCGTGAGACCAGAGGATGGTCATGAGATCCCTAGGGCATGGTGGAGGGGAAGGCTCTCAACTCCTTATCTCAAGTAAGAATGTGGGCCCCGGGCAGAAAAATCCAGTTCCACTTATCTTGGGCTCTTTGCTATTTTTGTTGTGCGCTCCAAAGCAAGGTCTAAAAGTGAACTTTCTTCCTGCCCCATGGCCTCCCCCAGAGACTTTTTACTTCAGAAATCTCAGGGTTTTCCCCTCTACTTCTAATCTCTCTTTCTCTGCTCTTCACCATTCTGATTCCTGAGCCATAGGATTCTGTGCCTCTAAATCTAGAATAAAAGCTAACAATACCACAGCTTAGTCCACTATCTCTGAGAATGTCTAAGACTCCACAGAGAAATTCCAGATACAAGACCAGGGTCCCTTGCTTATCCACAATTCTCTTTTTAGTGCACCCATCATGCTGGGTGAGACTGTAGTTAATGGCTCAGGGATATTTTTAGCCAAGCAGACCTCATTGTCAATTGGGGTGGGGTTGGGGGAAGGGCTGACAGGTGCTGACATCCATCACACTGGGGCTTGTTGGGCAGCCAAGAGAGGGAAGGGGCCAGCCTCCCAAAATATCACAGTGAGCTCATTCAGCTGCCATCTCTGGGGCCCAGACAAAGGGGTTTTAAAAGGCGTGGGGGGTGGCCCAAGCTGGTCCTGCTCCAGCCAACACTGCCTTTCAACCGACATGGAGACCCTTGAGCTTCTCAGCCAAGAATCCCTCGGTCAAGCCAACTGTGACAAAGGCCCAGACCAAGACCCTGAACTGCAGGACCCATTCTATGCAGGTACTACCCTTCTGTGTCCAGGAGAGTCTGGAACCCAGCATTGAGAGAAATGTATCAGCAGTTTAGGAAGGGAGGTCTTTGGGAAAAGATCTTTCTTCCTTTTTGCCAGCGTTTTAACTGCTCGTTTCTCAGAATGAGTTGATGCTATGGCTACTTGTTGAAGTGGCGTGTAACCACATGGATGATTAAAAAGACAAACAGCTAACCTCCTGGAGAGAGAGTGGGTACCATGGAGTAGTGAGCACACTGTGAACATGTGAAGACGTGTGTGTGAGTCCATGGGAGTAGATGTGTGTGAGCAAGAGAGTGTTCACATCCTTGTGTTGCTGGTTTTCAGAGGGTCTTGATGGCTACTGATGGTGGGCCTTAGCACTATGCTAAGCACTAAGTCTACCTACCTTATCTTACGTACCCCTCATAGCAACTCTATGAGGTAGCCATTAGCATCCTCATTTACAAGGAAAGACACTGGTAAGTAAGGACACTTCAGAGTGACCATGTAACTCATGGTTTCAGAATGAAAAACCTTGCAGAGCCGAGATTTGCCCTGAAGCCTAATTCCAGAGCTGCTTCTTCCACTCACAGCAATTTTTTGTTATAAATGTTGGCTTAAGAGGCATGAGAGAGTTCCAGTTAAAAAGGAGCATAGTTTGTATTTTGAGTGGAAAATAGATGGAATTTCAAGAATTTCTCAGGAACAGGGGACTAGGGGCTAGAGAGCCTTGGTGGCCAAGGCTGTGTTCCAGCTGTGGGGTAGCCTCTCCTGTCTCCTGGCCCCACCTACACAGGCCTCACATGGTGTGGGAAGCCCTGCCCTGACTCCCTTTAGCCCAGAGTCTCTGCGTGTCTGCTTAAGCATAGCTGTCCAGACTCTCTACCTTGAAGGCTTGAAAAAGAAAGGGCAGCTCTGACTTCCAAAGAAAACAACCTATTCCAGCTTGGAAGAAAGGAGAGTCTATTTGGCTGATGAGTGTGAGGTGGTGTGAGATGTGGAGGGTTGGTGTGGAGAGCAGCACTCCGGCTTTTCTGGCATCGTGGATCTCAGGCTACCCTAGGCTGTGAGTAGCAAGGATGTGAGGCAGAGGGATATTCTGCTGGCTGCAAAGCAAAGATCGATGTCAAGATTTTGTTCAGAACAGTTAGGAAAAGTCTCTTCAGAGGAAACTGTGAGAAGACCCACTGAGAGTGTGTCTCTGTACATGTGTACCTACATATGTGCATGTGAACATGTATATTTATATATGTGTGTGTGAACATGAACATACGAGCTAGGATAAACGTGAAAGAGAAAGTACATATGAATAAATGTACTCATTACTGACTTTTTGATTAATAATCTGAAATGATGTATGATGGTAGTTATTTCTGCTAATGTTTGCATGTAATGTGTGCTGTATGATGGGGTGGCAGTGTGAATGAAGATCCTCACTGCTAAGGATCCTCTGTATCTTTGTGATGGGGCAGGAGATGAGAAAAGGGACTGCTTTCTAGGGGTTCAAACTTTCTGAGAAGCCTCTGAACATGGCCTCTGCCTCTGTAGTGGGAGAAGCAGGACCCTTCTTGCTGGGACCTGCCCCATCTCCCTTTGTCCTATGATGAGAGACATCTGCCTACCACAGACTGCTCAGAATGGAGGGAGGCAAGGTAGGAATGTGTGTGGCATGTGCAAGGGCACATTTCTGGGAAGATAGACACAAAGGAAAGGGGACAGTGGACAGTAGGAAGACTGTGGTCAGTACAGTATCAGAAAAGCCAGCTGGACAGTCTTCTCTTCCATTGTCCTTGGTTTCACCTTTCACCGCCCACTTTGTCCCAGAGTCAGAGAACTTTGCCACAGGCAGGAGCTAGTGGAGGTTTGGTGGGTGAAAAGATGGGAGGCCTGAGGGAGAGGGGCAAGGTGACTAGAGGAGCCCTAGAAAGCCTCAGTAACCATTCATTCTCCCTCTTGGCCCTCTTCAGAACTACAGCGTGCAGAAAGCGTCCAAGAGAAGACTGTAAAGGAGGCCAAGACCAAATGCCGGACCATTGCATCCCTGCTCACTGCTGCTCCCAACCCTCACTCCAAGGGGGTGCTTATGTTTAAGAAGCGGAGGCAGAGAGCCAAGAAGTACACACTAGTGAGTTTTGGGGCTGCGGCCGGGACAGGCGCCGAGGAGGACGCTGTTCCCCCTACGAGTGAGTCTGAGCTAGACGAAGAGGCCTTCTCCGACGCTCGTAGCCTCACCAATCAGTCGGATTGGGACAGCCCCTATCTGGATATGGAGCTGGCGAGGCCGAATTCAGGCACTGTGGAGGGACAGGGCCCTGGGCAAGGAGGGCAGCTGAGTGAGGCGTCTGGGCGAGGGGCTCAGCTCTTTGAACAGCAGCGGCAGCGGGTAGACTCCAGGTCTCAGGACCTGGCCCAGGATGGCTCACCAGTTACCGTCAATGGGCAGGTCCTGCAGTTACCCCCTCGGGCCCAGAGTGTACCCCCAGAGGCGGAGGTGCTCCCACCCAGCCCTTTGCCGGCCCTTGTAACCAGTCCCAGACCCTTTCTGCCTGGCGGTGGCGCTTCTTCCTCATCTCCTGGCATCTTTAACCGGTCAGCCAGGCCATTTACTCCAGGCTTACAAGGGCAGCGGCCAGCTGGTACTACCTCGGTTATTTTCCGGCCTTCAGCCCCTAAGAAGGTGAATGACAGCCTGGGATATCTCAGCTCCCCCCCAGCCCCGCCTCCTTTCTTGTCCTCCCCGCCGGAGCCCACCTTTCTGTCTAGCTTTACTGCAGGGGTTCCCAGTCATGTGCCAGCCTCCAGCTCCCCAAGCACTCCGCGCTCTTCGGGCCCGGTGACAGCCACCAGCTCCCTGTATATCCCAGCTCCCAGTCGTCCTGTTACTCCAGGCGGAGCCCCTGAGACCCCCACTCCCTCGAGCGCAGCTGCCATGACCTCCACCGCTTCTATCTTCCTCTCGGCGCCTCTGCGACCTGCTGCGCGCGCAGAGATGTCGGTCTCAGGCCCAGCTGCCCCTGAGCCCCCCAGTTCGCGAGAGCAGCGTATTTCAGTGCCAGCTGCCCGCACAGGCATCCTGCAGGAAGCCCGGCGCCGGGGGACTCGGAAGCAGATGTTTCGGCCTGGAAACGAGGAGACAAAAAATTCGCCTAATCCTGAGCTGCTGTCGCTGGTGCAGAACCTGGATGAAAAACCCAGGGCCGGGGGTGCTGAATCTGGTCCAGAGGAGGACGCGCTGAGTCTCGGGGCCGAAGCCTGTAACTTTATGCAGCCACTAGGGGGAAGAAGTTACAAGGCCCCGCCCCCTAGGACCCCGCCTCCAATGGCTCCCAAGACTCCACCCCCAGTGGCTCCTAAGCCGCCTTCTCGAGGGCTTGTGGACAGCCTAATGAATGGGGGAATTCCTTCGTCTGGAATCTCTGAGCCACCGAGGCTGCAGGGCAGGGGTGGGGAGCTGTTTGCCAAGCGTCAGAGCTGTGCAGACAGGTACGTGGTCGAAGCCGCACCTGGTCCTGGCCTTGGCCCTAGCCCTCGGCCCAGAAGCCCTTCTCCCACTCCTTCCCTGCCCCCATCCTGGAAATATTCACCCAATATCCGTGCTCCGCCGCCTATTGCATACAACCCTCTGCTCTCACCCTTTTTCCCGCAGGCTGTTCGAACTCTACCTAGTAAGACTCAATCCCAGGGGCCACGGGTCACTCCCAAACAGGGAATCAAGGTTCTTGATTTCATGAGGCACCAGCCCTACCAGCTTAAAACTGCTATGTTCTGTTTTGATGAGGGTCCCCCAACTCTGGGCCCCACTGCTTCCGGGCCTCCCAAAACTGCCCGAGTCCAAGAGATCCGCAGGTTTTCCACTCCGGCACCCCAGCACACTGCAGAGCCCCTGGCCCCCACAGTGCTTGCCCCCCGAGCAGCCACTACATTGGATGAGCCCATCTGGAGGGCAGAGCTGGCCTCAGCCCCTGCCCCTAGCCCAGCTCCTACTCCAGAGTCTCCCAGAGGCTTTGGAGCCTCCCCCAGCTCCTGTGGCTTCCAGGTAGCCCGGCCAAGGTTCTCAGCCACCAGAACAGGATTGCAGGCTCATGTGTGGAGGCCTGGGGCAGGGCACCAGTAAACAGAGCACGGCTTCCAGGACCAAGGAGAGGTGGAACATCCTGTTCCTAACGTTGCTCCTCCTACCCCGTCCCAGCCCCTCTGTTAGACACCTAGAGGCTAAAGGTTCCCTCCTGCCAGCAGTAGTTTATGGAGTCAGCTCCTGTCCCTCAGCTTCTTGGTTTCTTCTCTTTGTCTCTGTTCCTTGCCTGGATCTCTGTTTTCAGATCTCTCCTCCCATACTTTTGCTCTGTGTCTGTTTCTTGACTTGTGTGCTTGCTTCTGTGGATTTTGAATGTTTAGTGAGAAGTACACAGAGAAGTTACCACTGGGACCTGAGGCAGGATGTTCATCACCAGACAGATGGCAGTGTCTAAACTGATGCCAGTTTCCACTCGGCTTCTGCCTGTTCCTCACTCTTCTTTCCCAAGCTTGGCTGCCAAATACCTAGGCATGTACATGTATGTGTGTGTGTGTGTGCACTCAACTATGTATGTATGTGCACAGATGTCTTCTAAGGCAAGAGTAAGAGGATGGTCTGAATAAAGACTCAGTTTGGGTCTTTCCCTTGAACTAGTGAAAGAAGGGTCAGGTATTATTCCCACATAGATTGTATAATGAGGAAAAAAAGAGATTCACTAGAGACTAGACTAATTGCTTAAATATCAGTAACTGTAGCAGATACTCAGCATCTTGTGAAGTCTGTGGAGTATAAGAATATCGAAAGGCAAGGATATCTTGCATGGGCAATTGTAGCACCTAGAACAAGAATAGAACTCAGATTCTATTACTCAGGATTTCAGAAAATAAACAGTTTGAGAAGCCCATACTGAACAACCTAGCATGCAAGACATAATAAAATTTCCTCTGCAAATGAGCCATTCATTGGCTTCATTGCCTCAGGAGCCTAAGACAAGAAGGATGGTAAAAGGAAGCAGAGTATGGAAGATAGAGAAGTGAGGCATAAACAGGAGCAATTGAGGAATAAATGAAATGGACAGAGCCATAGAGAGGAGCTTGGTGAGGGAGAATGCAGTGTGGGCAGACGATGCAGTTGGGTAGTAACCCAATAGTGTGCAGGGAGAGGACTGGGGGAAATGTGAGGTAGAAGAATGTATTTGTTAGCATAGCAGAAGAGGACAATAGTGGAAGAATGTGAAGGGATGTGCAGAGTGTTGAAAAGAGCAATTAGAGTCTGTGCTGCCTTTCAGTCTGTCCCTTAGTCTGTCTTCTGCAGCTTGTTGTGATGCTAGAGAAAAGCCTGCAGCTTGTTGTGATGCTAGAGAAAAGCGTAGAACCAAGACCTCCCTTTTGGCTGACCCATCCTTCAAAGCTCCAGCTCTCCTTCTTTTCCAGCTTTGGGCCTTGATCTCTTATCCTGGAGGATTCCCCTCTCACCTTGACTACTACCTACAGCTTAATCTGGAAATTGATAATTTCTTTTGCGTATTAGATGCGAGTCACAAGACATTGTTTCCTGCATAAGAATAAACTCATGTCCTAGACCTTCTGTTGCTGTAATGTCTTTCATTTTGTACCCAAATCTTGATACCTCTAAACTATTCTCCTGAGCTCCTATTTTTTGCTTTCTGTAGGCCTCCTGAGCAGAGTTGCACTGATTATTGTAAAGGTGGCACTTCTCTGGGGATTTGAATCTACTAGCTTCTCAGGAGAGAGATGGCAATCCTCCTGTGTGAAGTACAGCTTTTGAAAATCTCCGGAGAGTTAGCTAGCTTTGAGTCACTTCTGACCCACAAACAATGAGAAAGCTCTTCATTGCCAAGTTTTTTTTGTTCTCTCATCAATTCTACCCTACTGTGATTTACCTGCCTTGATTTCCTCTCTTCACATTCTCCCTCCAGAATTTCCCCTATTCCAATTACTGCTTCATACTTCTAGACATGGTCTCAGTTTACAGAACCAAGAGAAATTGGAAGGGCCCTTTGAACTTTTGACACTAACATTTCCTAGCTCCCTAGAGAAAGCAACTATGTTAAACAATCTCTGGGAATTAAATGGCTGATGATAAAAATGTTAGGGGCTATGGAGTAGACTACCACTCACAGAGACCCTATAAACCACTGTGCATTATCCTGCATGATCCTCGCAATCTCCACCATACTCAAATCCATTGTTGCAGTCACTGCCAAGCCATTTTATTGAAGGCCTTCCTTTTTTTACATCAGCGCTTCAATTAACTGTCCTAAAGTTTAAACTGGTTTGTAGCTGACCCCTCTATTGGGTTTTCAAAGCTATAAATCAGGGTCCTGTGTGTGGCTGGCTGGCTGGCCAGCTGGCCAGTGGGAAGCGCCCAGCACGTGGTCTGAGTGTACTCTTCTGGCCATTTTGAAAGATCTTCACAGGATTTTGCTTGCTGATGAAGACAAAAGATGGCTGATGTTTGTGTTGTGTGTAGCTTACCTCCTCACGGCCTTCTTTCAGACAACCTTGGTTTGAGTTCTTGTTCTACTGCTTTTATTACTTTTTCAACCTTGAGCAGGTCTGTTCACTCTGGAAGCCCCTTCTCCATTTGTGGAAGGGGAAAGTAATAATACCTACTTTGGGTTACAATTAAAAAACTTGGAAGAGAGAAAGGGGGCAATGATGGCAGAACTAGAGCCAGAAGTGCTGTCCACATTACGGCACAAGGTCCAGACCTCAGAAGAGCTTTACAGGGTTGGGGAGAGCTCTCTGGCCCCTGGGGAGAGTCACCTGGTAGGGAGAGCTTCCAGGCTCCTGGGTAGAACCTCCTGGTGTGTATGAGAAACATTATCTAAGCCACTTTCCTCTATCTCCTCTCCAGTATACCTGTAAGTAAAATCTTGGAAGCCCTTTTTCTTTGTAACTCACATGTTTGTTCTAAGTTTGCTTCCTTTCCTATAGGTAACCTGAACACTGAGTCTTATTCCAGAACCTGAACCCTGACCCTGGTTCCAGACACAAAAGGGAAATATAATTGCTAGTTAAGACAGCAAAGGTGGATAGAACCTCAAAGTTTAACCAACCACTCCCACTGGACTCACCCATGCAAACACTTTGCAGTCCAGAGGGAAGAAAACATCATGAAAATATTTTCTAACTTAACAAGAAGGTATACAGCTTCAACTCAAGACCACCAGTAAAGTGTTAAAGTGGGTTCCCCTTCATCTCAATACACCATTCAGCGTGAAGCAGCTAGAGAGTCTGCACCCCTATTCCCAAATGGGAAACTCATAAATAAAAAGACAATATCTTTGTTAAAAAAAAAATCAATCCCTATTGGACTATGCCCCCCAAACCCTAACCCTAATGATGTTAACCCTAACCCTAACCCTAATCCTAACCTTGTCTTTTCCGGTCTCCACTGACCAGATCATTCTCATTCCTTTAGCCTACTTCCTACTCCCACCAAATTGTACAATTCTGTGATTTCATTACTACCCATCCTCACCCTTCTGCTCCCATTTCTTACCTCGTTGGATCCTCATAGATATTTTACTAGTTATCCTATTTTTACAATAAAAAGAGAGAGCGTGCGAGAGAGCGTGAGAGTACAGTGTAACAACAAAAAAGAAAGTAGTAAAGCAGTCATGAGAAGAACCCTTCAAAAGCATCCTGGGATACACTGAAGACCAGGTTGTCTCCTGCTACTTTAACAGTGACATCCACTTTTCCACCTTTGATGCTGGGATTGGTATTGGTCTGAATGACCACTTTGTCAAACTAATTTCCTGGTAGGACAATTAATTTGGCTACAACAATGGGGTGGTTGACCTGATAGTTACATGGCTTCCAAAGAATAAAAGCCCCTTGGACAAACCAGCTCCAGCACTAGCACTAGACAGAAGAGAGACATTCAGCTGCTGGGTGATCCTTGCCCCAACTCAACCCACCACACACACACTAAGACTCTCACATCCTTGACACAGTTTCCATTCAGTCCCCCTGAGAAAGGGGGCTTAGATAACCAATCTTGTTATGTACCATCAATAAAGTACATTGTACTCAGCCAAAAAAACCCCAATACACATATACATACAATCAGCTTCATAATTAGTAATGGAAATTAAAACAAGGTATCATTAGCTTAATTATACAGAGTGGCAAAGTTTTAAACTTTTCATTGTTGAAAAAATAAGCCCTTTCTATGAAGATGGTGCCAAAGGAAAGAAGGAAACCCTTGCCTCTCCCGAAACTGAAGCCAAAGCAAAGGCATTAAAGGCCAAAAAAGTGTCCTGAAGGGTATCTACAGCCACAAAACAAGGAAGACCTACACACCACCAGCCTTCTGGCAGAACTAGTTAGATGTGGAGACTCCAAAGGCAGCCCAAATATTCTTGAAAGAGTGCCCCCAGGGGAAACAAGCTTGACCACTCTGCCATCAGCAAGTTTTCTCCTGCCACTGAGTCAGCCATGAAGCAGATAGAAGATAACAACACACTTGTGTTCACTGTGGATGACAAGGCCAACAAACACCAAATCAAACAAACTGTAAAGAAGCTCTATGGCATTGATGTGGCCAAGATCAACACTCTATTAGGCCTGATGGAGAGAAAAGGCCTATGTTCTACTTTCTCCTGACTAGGATGCTTTGGATATTTCCAACAAAATTTGGATCGTCCAAACTGAGTCTAAGGAGCTCTGGTGACCTGGCAAGAGCTGTGCTGTAATCCCAAAGGCACTTGGTTTGAAGCCACTCCTTGGGATAAAGATAGACAACCACTTCCTTTGTGATTAACTGTCCCTGAAAACCCTCCAGAGGGTCAGCTATGAGTTGGTTCCAACAACCACAAACTGAGTGGAATCCAGCTAATGGATTAAAATTGCATGTCTTCAGGTTTGCAGTGCATCTTCTTGCCAGATAATACAATTACTTTGGAAAATAGCTTCTTAAAAAACCCAAAACACATATTTGCCTTATGACTCAGCAATCATATGCTTGTTGTGGTTACCTGCTGGTGATTCAAGTACATCTCGTAGTGACCCTATGAACAAAAGATCTGAATCCTGTGCTATCCTGCACCATCTTCACACTGCCTGACA